TTTTTTTTGCAAGTTTGGCAAGTGTTCAAACTTAACAACTTTTTTCACCATAGAAACAACTCATGATGAAAAGGTGGATTCAGTTCGCAAAAAACAAAGTATTGCAATTTGATCATATGTAACTAACTGTAAAGAGTTCACATTAGAACATATCAAATTTTCATGCCATTTGAATGATTTTTCGCAGTTCTATGAACATTTGAATTTAGAACTTTTTTTTGTAGATTTCAAAATTTTCGCAAACTTTTGACCGGTAGTGTATGTCTTATTTTTATAGTAAAAAAGGAGTCTTTTTTTTTTGCAAAGAAAAAACAAAGAATACATTTCCTAATTTTTAATTTGACGAAAAAATCTAAAAATTTAATAGAACTTCTTATTGTTCATCCTATAAACCGAAATTTATAAAATTATTTTTTAGTTTTCCAAACACTTAAATAGATGTTTTTCAATACTAAATTGTTATAGAAAATAGTATTAAACAAAATATATCAAAATTTAAATTTCATTTTAACATTTTTCATTTCCCTAATTTATTAATAAATAAAACAAATTAATTATATATTTTTTGAAAAATAAAACTCTTTTAAAAAATAAGATTTCGAGAACTTGGTCTGTAAAATTCTTCTTGGTTTATAAAGGTAACACATGCATATAAAATAAATTATCAATTACTTGAGTGCGAATTGGTGGTGTATTAGAGTTGACAGTGGCCGTACTTGACACGATAGTTTGAGTTGCAACTGCAACAGTCTGTGCTCCTGTGCGTGCCTAAAAAATTTATTAAATTGTTAAATTTTGATAATTATGAAAATGAAATTAAATACAATTAGAAAGTGACCCCAATATATATAGTATATTGTAATGTACCAAATGTTATAAAGTATAGTATGTTTAATTTATATGCTAAATTTGTTATTCATATAGTACAATAATTAAATATTCTAATGAGCAGTAAAAAGATTTCAAAAGCTGACACAAAATTTTCATCTAAAGCAAGTGATCTTCTAAAATCTGTTAACATTGAGCACAAACATCACTAACAATAAAGAAAATAATTATGAGACCTTTTGTTAGCATTAATAGTTTCCTTAAATTTAGGTTACACTCAAAGTTTAGCTACAAACATACAGAAAAATATTCCCAGACTTTTCTCTGATTTTTATCAATTTCCTTGATTTTTGTAATTCATGCCTTAAATTTTATTATTGATTTCTCAGTTATGATAATGTACATAGAATATTTTATAGTAATACTTTTACTATAAAGTAATTCTGTTCAAGTTGAAAACAGTTAAGTAGCAATGCTGTTCAAATTGAAAACAGTTAATTAGCAGTAAAGATATATAATATACAAAAGAAAAACTTTATTTAATGCTGCTACAATTTAAGAGAGATCAATGGTACGTGTTAGAGTAACTTCTAGCTACTGTAAAAACTAATTTTTAAGCAAAATTTAATAATAAATACTGTTTTCTTAATATTAAAGACAAAAATATTTGATTTAGGTAGTGCAATATTTTCAAAACAATGTTAAATCTACTTTTCATGTCAATGTTAAATCTACTAATCAAAATTAATGTCTCAAAGTCAAAAACATGTTAACAATATATCATAAGGTTTAAGAACAGCATCTTATGATAATTGAGAAACTATATGCACAATGAAATTGAAAGAAAGATAAAAAACCTGACTAAAAAAAGTATGTTTTAAAATTTAAAGAAAAAAAAACATATTTTTCAGTTAATTAGAATTATTAGGTTAAGTACATTTCAAAGTCTTCTTTTTTTTTTTTTAATGTATTTAGTATTTATTTCATCAAAAAATAATCATATTGCAACAATTTTTTATACATGTTTAAGAAAAATACAATGTACTAAAAAAAACTTGTATGACACATATTGTTCAGGGGTCTGGCCAGGCCGAATTTACTGCCTTTTAGGGGTACCTTCACAAATTCAACTTTGGGAAAAACGGTAGTTTCACAAATTCAATTTTAGGAAAAACGGTAGTTTCACAAAATACTTTTTCTTAAAATTTCAGTTTTGTATCCCTTAAGAAACGATAAATCCATATTTTTACCACATATTTGTGTTGATTTTTAAATATAATTTTTAATTTTTCACAAATTATGTCTAAATTTTCACAAAATAGGTACCTCTCAGAAAAACCGTTAAATAAGGCCATTAATAAACATGAATAAATTTATGTATTTTCTTTGTAAAATATTTTAAACACTGGAATCTATGTCTTGCCTAATTACTTATTTCAATATTTTGGTTTATTTTAACTTTTATAGCATAAGCACACTACCTGTGGAATTATTCATAAGAGACTTTTGTTTTGAGAACAACCTAATTTTGTCCAGAAAATTGTCTTTGAAATATATATATAACTAAACTTAAAATATCAAAATACTGAGGTATAAAGGATTTAAAGAATTTTTTTCAAAATCAAATATGCATATGTACAACTAAAAGTCTTATTTAAAATTTGAAAATATAAATAATTTATACATAATAATTTTTTTTATGTATAAATTTCAGCTATAATTTAGTTACACAAAGAAAATATTTAATAGACTTATTTTTTTTACTTTACATACATTATGCATGTTTTTAGGTAATTTATAAATAAAANTTAAAATATCAAAATATAGAGGTATAAAAGATTTAAAGAATTTTTTTCAAAATCAAATATGCATATGTACAACTAAGAGTCTTATTTAAAATTTGAAAATACAAATAATTTATACATAATAATTTTTTTTATGTATAAATTTCAGCTATAATTTAGTTACACAAAGAAAATATTTAATAGATTTTTTTTACTTTACATACATTATGCATATTTTTAGGTAATTTATAAATAAAATTTAATGTAATTTAATTTCAAAGATAATGTTTATCAATTGATATCATCAAATCATACTCTGTTGGGCGTTCCTAGAAGCCCATTTTTTTTTCTCTGTGTCACATCTAAAAAAAAACACGTATCTCTCTATTTTATCGTATGACACTTCTATATGCTTCAATTTGTTCTGATATTTCAAAGGAAATTTTACAATATTTAAATATAACTTAATTAAATTCGCAATTTTACCTTAACTTGTTTATGCTTCTGAGGCATGGTGGCGGTATTAGCATAAGTTGTACGCGGCACTGGTTGAGTTGTAGCCCCAGCAACAGGCAATTGCATAGCAGCTTGTGGTTGTGAGTGTATAAACATGCTATTTGATTCTTGGCTGCTGCGAATGATGATGGGATTTTGCGCAAGCAATGCAGAAGACTGTAAACAACCATTTGTCGCCCATGATAATCCTGGAGGTAGAGAGGCTCCCAATGTTTGTAAACCTGTTATAAATTTTATTCTTAATAAAATCACAAAAATTATTATTGGAAAAATAATGCATAAATTTTGCTACACGAGTTGTGCTGTAATATAAATCAGAGTCACACATTACCTGCAAAAATATAAATACTTGATAATCAATTTAAAAAACTTTTAGGGTTTCAATCAAAGAAAGAACTTTGATTAATACAGTCAAATCTCGATATCACACATTTTGAAAACACAAAATTTTTTTAATATAACCAAAAATATTAATTCCTAACAACACACTCCTGATGTTGCAAAAAGAGCAAAATCTCTTTTAGTTAAATGCATTTTTTGGTGAACCTCGGTGTTACGAAATATTTTTTAATGACTAAACGTTTTTCTCCTACTTTCCGAAGAATTTAAAATGTTTTCGTAAATTTAAATTTTAAAAACTTTTATCAAATAATTTTATGAATTATTTCCTAAACCCTAATAAGAAAAAAAAAGATTACTATTTTTGAAAACAAGCAACCTGAATCTCCATATCTAAAGAAGTAGACAAGATAGACACATGCATAGTTAAGGATATCCACTCAAAAAATAGAAAAGAACATGCTAATTTAATGAATACAAAAGAAACTGATATTTACAAGGAAGAAATCACTGCAGAAAATAATGCTTCATTATGTGGTGATTGGGAAAAATCAGAAATATAAGAGGTTATTAATATAGAAGTCACAAAATTATGATTAGTTAATTTCCTTTTATACCAATATATAATTAAAATTTGTATGTAATTGAGTTCAAGATTTTTTTTTAATCAAATAGTTTTAAAGTAGGGATTCAATAATCTCGGGATGAGAGCATGACACTTAACATTTTTGTATAAATATAGTTTTAATTGATGATCCCTCTACTTATCTAGGTATTTACAATTACTGCAATGTCGATTGAAATCGATCATTTCTGAAATCTCATGTAAGAGACAAATCAATAATTTTAAAACTACAAAAGTTCAAAAGAACTGTAACCACAGTTGTTTAAAATAAAAAATAAGTCTATGACCCTTGAATTCATTATCATAAAACTTTGATTTTATAAAACTGTTAATTGAGTTTCTTTTTCATAGAATGACTGAGAGTTCTCAAAAAATGTTTAACTAATGAATCCTGAGAGTAAAGTTATATGCTGGAAACATGTATATAATTTGTAGACTGCCTCTTAATTTGAACTATCGATTTTTAAACTATCATATTTCTCCGAGTATAATTATTTAAAATAAAAATATACTGGATCAAAAAAAAAATTTTTTTTGATCCTTCAAATCTTTTTTTAAAAATTTGCAATTGTATTCTTAAAAAATGGGATGTTCAGGATACCACAAAAATCAGGAATGTCAGAACAAAAAGTGAAAAACAAGGACAAATAAGGGCAGAATTCTTTTAAATAGGAAAATCAGGACAACTTTGAACCCTGAATAATTGTGTAATATCAGCTGTAATAATGATTGGAACACTTTTAATGCTGGTCGGAAAACAATAGTGTTGTATGATCGGGTGTCGGATGATCAGGGTCATACTGTAAATATTTTTCTTTTTTTTTTAACCAACACATGCAATGCAAAATTTTAAGTTTTAGTACATTTATTATTTTGGAAGAACTATTAAAAAATTGGCGACATATGATTAAAATATGCGATTTTCATTAACATAAATTTTTTAATTTCTGCTTTCGAATTCATAATATTAAAATTACTGCATTTATAAATCCAGTAAACTGTCTTCAACAGAATTTGGGACATAGAAAGAGTGCTTGTTAAGCATTTGGTGAGAGCCCTAAATACTTCTTTGGAACTTTCTCTGAAATTTGGAATTTGACTTTATCAGAACAAATTTTCTCCACGAATTCTCTGCATGCATCAGATTCAAGTTATGCTGATAGATCATCAATTCTTATCTTGGTGTTTAAAACTAACTCAATTGAAATCAAATGAAACATGTTAAATAAACCTGAATTAAAGTACTAGAAATTGGGGATTGAATTGAATATTCTAAAATACATAGATTGCATACCTTGTAAAGTTCTAATTATCTGATAAAATTTTTAAAATAACTCATTTACTAATAAATAACTCATGTTAAAAACTCAAAATTGCTAAAATAATGAACTGAAGTCTTGAAGAAAAAAAAAGCTTTAAAAATGTCAAGCTAATCAAGAACAGAAAACTATTTAGTCATTTAAAAATTTGGAGAAATAAGATGGAAGAACTAAGTAAGTTAGTTTCTGTCTTCACTTTCATGTAGATTAAAATCTTTTAAGTTGGGAAACTATATGGAACTGAAAACTACATTAAACATAGTTCTAAAAGAAAGCATCATGGAAATTTCAAAAAATATTTTTATTAATTAAAAGCGAAAAATATCAAGAAAAGGAAAAATATCGTAGTACATTCTTATACAACCGAAAAGAGGAGGAGAGGGAAAGGAGTAGGGTCAAATTCATGGAACTGGTCTTCTCCCCAGATGACGCATTCGCGTGCCATTCAAAGTGCAAAATAGAAAAAACTTTGTATATATCAGAGGAAAAAATACTAGAGTTTAAAAATTACTGTTTCAAAATCATGCTGTTTAATTCGTGAAAAATATTTATATACCTTTATGATTATTTAACTTATTATTCTTATTAATTAGGACACACGCTAATGGTGAAAGCATGTAAAGTGTTGTCATTGGTAGAGAGTTCTGCTCTAAACCACCTGTAGCCCATTTCGATCGCCAATAACAAAATACTACATATTTAATTTTACATAACAAGGAGATTACAAAAAATGTCAAAAAATAATCACCTGACTAGATAAATTACATCCTCCAGAATTAAGCACAACAACCTGTTCTGATTGAAAATATTAAAATAATTTGACTTAAATATTTTATAAATTACCAAATAATTGAGCTTGATTAATCACATTTCCAGAAGCTTGGCTAGTGATTATTTGGGGCTGAGAAGATATCTGCTTCATATTACTTCCATTGAATACTTGAGCAGAAGAATGCACCGGCAAGGAAGAAAACAAAGATTTTGGTTGTAGAGCAGCTTGTTGGTTTTGAAATGTCTGAAAGCCATACAAAGAAATATATATATATATACATATATATAATGAACTAGAATATTTCAGTCATACTATCAAATTTGTTTAAGCTTGTCATGAGAGTTTAATAAAGGTAATTGATAAAAAAATAACAATAGTCTAATTTCCATTCTGTATCCTTATTTAATATTACATTTTTGCTCGATTAACATAAAAAAAATTTTTGGAAAAGAAAAAAATTTGCATACTAATAACTTAAAACCAATCCTTATATGTATTAGATGTATATAACCTATAGCTCTGGAATAATATGTGGTTTCTGTTTCATAAACAAAAATTGGTAAACATTTCATAACTAGCAATAAAGATTTACAATCGCAAAATAATTTTAATTAACTTTAAAAAATAAAATGTAATGAAATTATAACAAAAATTATAACTTTAAAATTTTTAAATGTAGAGGTACTAATTTAAGGTGTTAAAAATTAAAATTTTCGATCATTTCATTTTAATTAAAGATTAGGAGGCTACACCCCCTGTTTGCTTTGTCCACTAAATTCCATGGTCGTAGGAAGAATAACAGCATATGTCCATATTTTACAAAAATTACAATTGGACTGCCATCTGTTGCATTCTGAGTTTCAGAAAATCAATAACATAAAAAATTGGTTCCCTTCTTGAATTCCAAAGCACGGTCACAGTAAATATGGGCCCTGTTATGGAAAACAGTTCCTGCCTTTGCGAATTTTTTTTTTTTTTTCTGTTTTTGATATAAACTGTTCTTTCCCCTTGATCTTCTTAAAAAATTATTTCTTAAAAGTTGATAAAAAGAAGATCATTCTATTAATATGCTAATCATAACAAAATGAAAGTATAGCAAGGTTCAAAAATAATCTACTGTGCTTGAAAAAAAAATTTAAACTTAGAATACAGAATGTGCAACACAGTAGGAAGTAATTTTACTTGTTAACAACCTACAATGATAACCTTATATCATATAAAGTTCACCTTGGAAGTAAGTTCATATAAAGTTCACCTTTCTCTTTTTTTAGTTTTTATATTTCATGGAAATTTCAATATAAACGTCAAGATTTATATCTGGCAACATCTAATCTCTCTTTTATTTTTTATTAATTAATTTTGACATCAAGTCAATCACAAGCTTATAAAAAAAATCTTGGGAGAGATAAGTTTTTCTATACCAATGGATAAATAAGTATTAAATAAAGAAAAAAAATTGCAATAACTTTCAAACCAATAGGAATTTTAAAAAAAAGTTTTACTAAATTTCTAATTTTAAATGATTCTACCAGCGTGTCAAATTTCAACTCTGTAGTTACATTTCAGCAGACAGTAGATCGACTTACAAATTTTTTTTCTTCTCCTACAAGTTTAACAGTTAATAATTTTCAAACTAATAATCGAATCATATTTCTTTTTGTTCCATTGCCCTCCTTGAACAATTTTACACCCCTTTGTAATTTCACATTTCAAAATCTTGTAGATTTTGCTCAGCAAACCAAAAATGAGAGAAAAATTCACAAAAAAAGCGCTTTAAATTACAAGCGATTTACTTTCAAACAAATGCGAATTTCAAAAAAAAAAAAAAAAAACTATATTTTAAGTTTACCAACAAATATGACGTTTTCAGCATGCCAAATTTCAACAATTACATTCCTGTGGCCTGTGAATCCGCCTGTATAATATTTTTGCCAACAAGTTTAATAGTTTTTATAATTCTCAAACTATTTATCGAAAGTTAATTTTTTTTTATTCCAAAAAAATTCTTGTACACTAAATTACACACTTTAGAAATTTCAAGTTTTTAAGTCTTATAGTTTTCACACAGCAGAGTAAAGTGTCACATTAAGTTGAACACATCCAAAACAGTGCTTACAGCCATTAGGATTTTTTTAATTTTTAACCAAGAGAAAACATTTTTAACCAAAACATGTTCAAACCAAATAGAGTATAGGGATTTATTTAAAAATTAATAATGAAATTCCCTTTTCTGCATAGAAAGTTGAAAACCTGTTATAATTGAATTCCATAAAAGAAGATAAGGTATACATAACTCCAAACGCTTTTTTAATTGAAAGATATTATAAATTTTTTCTTTTAATGAAGACTAAATGATATTGCTCTTATTACTAGGGTTCACGCCAGTAGGGTGACATGGCGAAAATTTTCGACAAATGTCGCTAAAATCATACCCAAGGGCAACAAATTTGTCGTTTTGAAATATGTTTAAAATTTGTTGTTGTCGTACACCATTAAGGCAAAGGGTGCAATTGTTCTTGTTTTTCAGTGGCGCCATCTAAGGTCAATAATTCGACTATATACACCCATCACACCCGTTTATAGGGCAGACCAAATCATATATCCTTATCCTTTTATTCATCTACAGATCGTAATTTTGACCTGAACCAGAGAACAATCAATATCCAAAGGTATAATTTGTTATGGGAAGAGGACTTTGCAGCCCGACAGATGTAATGTGCGCCAGTCAGCCATTACTACAAGGGGAGGCTTCGAACTCCCATTCTCAAGAACGTGAGTCCAGTGCCCTGCCAACCAGGCTATCCTTGCCAATGTGTGGAATTCACAAAATAGTAACAAAAAATAGTTTTTAGCGTTAAATTCGACACATTTAAAAAACATTGATGTACTCACTTTATTGTTCGATGCGTGGAATGGAATTCAAATTGAATAACAGAGAGTGTCTGGTATAAATATTTTCAAATTTAAATGTATAAATTTCAAATTTACATGTTGAGCTGTGTTTTGCATTCATGTACTGGCAGTAAAATTGTTCATCAATTAAATAATATTTGTTCTCTTTTAGAATGGACTTTATTTAAAATTTTTAGATAATAATTATTTGTTTAATACATTATTAGTTCTTAGTTTCTTAACTTATTTATCTATTTGGACTCAGCATTTTAATCTTTATGTTGAATCTATTTATTAATATTATTTTAGCTTTTTTACACTTAATTTGAATAACTAGGTAGTAATCTTCAATCAATATGGGCTAATGAACCTAATCAGTTTTAGGATGTAATAGAAAGCAATTTATAATTTATAATGTAATTGCAAAGTTTGATTTTCCTCAAGTTTGTCTATCGTATTAATTTTTTGGACCACCAAATGAATAACTGCCTAATAATATATAGAAGAATAACGAAAATTTAGTCCTATTGGACTACTAATCCTTCCTTGTGTGATACCTACTTATTACAGTAGGAAAAATTTAGTTGTTAATACTTTATCTAAAAACTAAATTAAGCGCAGCTATCAGAAGCCACTTTTCCCCCAGCCTTTTTCAGAAATGATTATACACCTCTGTAACATATAAATTCAAAAGAATTGATTTCAAATTAAATTATAAGTGGACGAAACCTAGGCATCTTTAGACTTTTAAGACAACTTTTAATTTAATTTCTGATGCACTTGTCCCCAAAACATGGTGTTGATAACTGAACTTTTGCTGAATTTTATTAATACTTATTATTTCAAGTTATAGAAAAACATGAAATATTTTATACAATTTAACTTACAAATGATTATGAGAAAACTGCTTAGTACAAAAATAAGAGTCAGTATTTGATTTTTTAACTTACGATTCAAATTTTTTAAGTCCTACAAAAATAATAATATAATTTAACTTACATAAGCTTTTCCCTTTTGAGAATCTTGAAGAAATTTTTGATTAAAAATAGACTGTTGATTTTGTAGCACTCCAAGCTGGCCAATCACAACTGTCTGATTAGCATTTGTGGAAGTGAAACCAGATTGATTATGAATGAAAGATTTTCCTGGCGTAGCCATCATTTGCTGAGGAAAATTTGCTTTTGTGGAAGCAGATAACATTTGTCCAGTAGTTCCCATCATACTGCCAGCACTGATATTCATGCCTTGCTACAAAAATAAATAACAAAAAATTGATGACAGTTCTTGAAGCGATGCTAGTTTCTTTTACTTTAGAAATAGTTATTGACAAAGAATATGAAACAAAATCTTAGATATCTCTAAATTATTATGTACTAAAAAAATACAATTTATTTTCTATAAAAGAAATTAAAATTGGAACCTTAAGCTTATTCAGTTACTGGGTAATCTGTTTCAAACAAAGCATGTTATTAATACTTTCTGTTTACGGAAGTGTTGATTATCAGGACACTTTCAAACGACCAAAATAAAAAAATCTCTCTTCCTTTTTCAAAAAAAAAATTAATAAATAAATAAATAAAAAATAAATAACTTTTATAATCCATTTAAGAAAAGCATAAATTTTTTTTTAATTTTTCTTAAATTTTCTCTTGCTGCACCTCGAATAGCTAAACATTTCCTCAGCCTCAATAAGCATACTAAAAGAGTTATTGAAAAGACAAAAGCTGTGAAAGAAATAATAAACTATGAATATTAATATATATATTCACTATTAATCAGGGTTCGTTGATTTAAATCAGCTTGATTTAAATCGCGATTTAAATCATGATTTAAATCAAATGATTTTTTTAAAAAAATCATTGATTTAAATCAACAATTTTTTTTATCTATATATATTGATTTTAAAAGTTAGAAAACAGCGTTTTAAATTGTTGATACTTTTATTATTTTCTTTTCTTAGTATTAAAATTTAATTTAAATAAATTGCTGCATTAATTAATTTTAGTTAACAAAATTACTTTCTTTCTTGGTGTGTGTTAAATTCCAACGCATTTGAAATTACATTTTTAAAAATCTTTTGATTCTTGAGATTGAAAGTACAGATTAAAGTAAACATTTAATGCTGTCTTAATATAGACTTGTATAGCTGTAGAAAGTAATTAATAAACATGAATTTTTTTCGAAAAATAATACAAATAATGTTAATAAAAATTCTACCTTTTGAATGAAAAAGCGTGAATTAAAATCTACATCATATTTTATTGGTGGAAAATGTATATTTCTGAAGCTTGAGTTCATATTAAAACGAAATTACCCTAATATGCCAAAAACAGAAAAAGAAAAAAAAGTGCTGATGAATTCAGATGTTTCTTTCCTAATATAGTGTCATCATTCTTCCCTTTCAAACTCTTTCAAAGTCTATTTGATGCAGTTAGGTTATTAACTGGTATTTTTTTTTCTCATAATATGTTCACAGTATCTCTGACATTATCTGATTTTCTATAAAGAAATTTTGTGAAAAAAAATTCCAATGAGTACTTTTTTTTTTTAGCTTAACTTATCTATTTTGATATAGAATTAAAAATGAATATTTGAATATAAAAATACATAGATTGAATATTTATTTATTTTTTGATGAATGACTACATTTATAAACACAGTCTGCTACATTTATTTTGTCATTTTAAAAATCAAGAGAAAAAAAAAANCAAACAAAGCATGTTATTAATACTTTCTGTTTACGGAAGTGTTGATTATCAGGACACTTTCAAACAACCAAAATAAAAAAATCTCTCTTCCTTTTTCGAAAAAAATAATAAAAAAAAATAAATAAATAAAAAATATAAAAAACGTTTATAATCCATTTAAGAAAAGCATAAATTTCCTTAAATTTTCTCTTGCTGCACCTCGAATAGCTAAACATTTCCTCAGCCTCAATAAGCATACTAAAAGAGTTATTGAAAAGACAAAAGCTGTTAAAGAAATAATAAACTATGAATATTAATATATATATTCACCATTAATATATATATTCAATTAGTATATATAATAATATAATATATTCACTAATAACATTATTAATATTAATAGTGTTTGGAAAGAAAAAGAGCAATAAGGATTTGTTTTCCTTTAAAATTATAGATGCTCTTTTTTTCCTTTACCAAAAAACGAATTCAGTTTTGTTCCATGTTCTAGATTATTTTCTAATAACTCTCATTAAGTTACTTTTGGAATTCTAGACTCATTTTTTAATGCTATTTTTGTCCGATTATATGCCCAGCCAATTTCTCACATAATAAAGAAATGTGAAAAACATATCTTTATTCATGAAAGAGAAGAAAGTTCAAATTATCCTCTGCTCACTTTCATATATATGCACAGTGAAAACTCCTGTTATAAACACTCCTGCTAAATGGACACCTCTCAATATGGACATATTTTTAATTCCCCGGGAATCTTCTATGAATGAACTATTATGTACATTCTCTGCAAAGCGGACACTCACGTAACCGGATGCAGACAGTCATTTATGCTGTGGAAGGTTATTTTCTATCACTTCAAACCAGAATCTTTTCTAAATTTAAAAGAAAAAAAAAACTATTTCTACTTCCAATTGCAAGGAGAAAAATTCAACTTTTCACCATTTTTAAAGCTTGTAAATTTTTTGCCTCATCCATAAGTAAAAATATTGTTAAGCTATTTCACTCTACTAAGGAATCAATCTTTCTCCCGTCCCCTTGTCTTATCTTTGCATAAAAAGGAGAGAAAATGATACTGCTCTTGTGAAATAATTTGGACAGCGGCATCTTTTGATCTCTTCATCTGGACCACACAGATTATGAGACTCCTCAAGTTGAAATAACGTTTTAAATGCTCTAAATGCTTATTCTCCACTGAAAATTTCTTTCACTTTCTTATCAATTTGACGACTGTATTCAACACAGCTAGGATAAAAAAGGAGAACAGAAGTATAATCTTTGAGGTGTTCATATAAAAGAATCATTTGTTCACACACTTGTCGATCAATTGTGAATAATCAATTCCATAGGTCCTCACAACTTACAGGTATGCATTGCTTTTTCTTTTTTTGCGAATCGTGGGAGGTTTACTTTCAAGGAGGTATTAACCACGTTTTCTATCAAGTGATAGGTAGGTGTAGGGGATGGAAACCTAATAATTGAAANCAGAGGTCGCCAAAGTGGTCTATATAGACTCCAGTGGTCTATATAGACTATATAGACTCCAGACTTAACAAAAGTGGGGGTCGATCTAAGTCAGGGGGTCGATCCGAATCAGAAGGGTCGATTGGGGGTCAAAGAAAAAACAGTTCTTAATACGTAAATCACACATATCTATTTGAGTATGCATAATTTGTGAATATTTTTTATAATTGACTTAATATCAGTTTCCTTATAGAACATAAATTAATAAAAGCATTATCAAAAACGTGGACATCAACCTGCAAGATGAGTTTGGTGAATTATTATCGGATCTTGAAACAAAGACGCTTTTTAAAAATTTAACAATAAGTAAATTTTGAACAAATATAAATTTAATGCAAAAATATGTAGAACTTTATGAAATAGCTCAGTCTTTTTATGCTAGCTTTTCCAAGTTCCTATATGGTTGAAGCCAGTTTCAGTCACATAAATTTAATCTTAACTAAGTACAGAAATAAATTAAATGTGGAGTTACGAAGGGATTTAAAATTAAGATTGACCAATTTTGAACGCAATATTGCGAACCTTGCAAAAAAACACCAGGCACACTCATCTCATTGGTTAAGAAGCAATAAATCTGTAGTTACTTTACTTAATATTTCTACTTATTTATAATTACTTATTATTTAATAAATATTAAAGTATTTAAATTTCAACATTAATATACTTTTCATAAAACTATTGTTACACAATGTACTATTACTTTAATAAATGTTTAAATCATAAAATAAAAGTACAAACACAGTATGTAATAGAGTTTTATCTTAATTAACAGAAAATTATTTTTATGGGGGTCGATGGAGATTTCGAAAAATTATATAGGGGTCGATGATCAAAAAAGTTTGGCGACCCATGATATAAATGAATCATTTGTTCACACACTTGTCGATCAATTGCGAATAATCAACTCCATAGGTCCTCACAACTTACAGGTATGCATTGCTTTTTCTTTTTTTGCGAATCGTGGGAGGTTTACTTTCAAGGAGGTATTAACCACGTTTTCTGTCAAGTGATAGGTAGGTGTAGGGGATGTAAACCTAATAATTGAAACCTACTGAGGACTAAAAGCTCTTATTTGGTATCATATGCCTAACTTGAACATCTGTGCTAATAGGAAAATTATATTCATTTATCTGTAGCTACATCTAGAATAATGTATTTATATCAAACTTTTTTATATATATTTTTTTTAATCGAAAAAATATTTTTTAAAGTTTAAATAAATATCCTTATAGATAGTAATTGTCAATTATTTAATTATTTCGATATCTTTGAAAATATTCTAAAAGCAATTTACGGTGTTAAACTTCTTAATTAGGGTACCCTTCCCAAAAATGGACAACTTTCATAAACGGACAATTTTGTTGGTCCCAAGAATGTTCGCTTAACCGAGGTTTCACTGCATATATATATTGCCAAACTAGCTAAAGATCCTATGATTCCAATAGGGGACTGACTTTCCACTGTAATTGGGGTGGTTACAAAAAGAATAAAAATTATCAGACTTTTTTTTTATTGATTTTATAAAAATATTTGTTTTCTCTAAGTATTTTAGTTAAGTTTCTTGACATTTCTCCGACTTTTCCAAATTGATAATATTCCTTGAGTTTTACCCGTTCTCTGATTATATGATTCTCCTTTTTATAATTTTTTGTGAATAAAAAGTAATGTTAGTTTTTTTAACAGGATAATTTATTTATTCTGAAAATATTAATCACAAAACAAATTATTGCTAGCAATAAACTTTTATGACCTCAAAAAATTTTTCATAAGATTACAAAAATCACAAATTGTTACACTAATCTTTTGACAAAAGAATTTGACAAACCATTTTCAATGTGATAGTTTTACCTATTATTTAAAAAGTAATACACAAAAAAAAAAAAACATACTAACTTTGCAATTACTTTTAAAAAAGAATTATTAATAAATCACATAAACATTTATTTTAACCATTTGATTTACTATATAGTACTTTTGCAGTCATGGGAATTATCTCTTACTTTATTTGCATTCATAGCATGGAGGTTGGTTGCAGTGCCAGATGTTTTTGAATCTAATGTGGGTTTTGCTTGCAGCTGAAGACTTAAGCCTTGATGTGTGCCAAGACTTTGAAGAGCTGGACCAGTTACTCCTGCATGCTGTAATGTCAAATTTCCAGGGAATAACATTTGCTGTTGAGGATATAAGTGCTGAAGATATGAAGTAGAAAGTGGTTGTTGAATCACTTGAACCTGAAATTGATTAATAAATTTATTTTAAGCAAACACTCATTAAATGAACTTCATGGGATGATTTAGTACACTACTGATTTCTGTAGCAATTCAAATTAAGCATTACATCAGGAGCTATTATAGACGATAAAAAAGTTCCCAAAATAAAAAAATCAAGTACTATAAGACCCTAGCACTAATTTGAATATGACACATATTTATTTCATTAATAAAGTGAAGTAAGTCAATGTTTTGAAATAATTGTTCCGAAGAAAGGATTTTTATTTACATGAAAATTTTGCTTTACAGGATTTTATATTAAAAATTTTTTTCTTACAATGCAGCATAAATAATTTAATAATGATAAACCACATCATATTCATATTTTTGTAAAAAAACAAAAGTTTAGGATTCAGAACAGTTTTCTAATGAAATTAAAATTAAGTATGGCTCTTAAATTTTTTAAATGATTATTTAAATCAGAGTTCCTTAAACTTTTTAATTTAGAGACCCAAGAATATTTATTTATTAGGTATTTTTTTACTTTTTTTGCAGTTATTGCAATGTTTTTTTATTATGTGATTTTAAAAATCTCTGTACTTTTTACTATATTATTACAAAACCTGAATTTCTAATCACACATGTAAATAACAATTTTTTATTCAATTTATTTGTGCCCATTGCATCATAAATCCAAGCGATTTTTCAAACATTTATTTTGTTAGTTAGTGGCAGTAGTATTAAAATCAAAATATTTTAATACAATATTTTAATACAATATTATTTAAACACATAAAATTTTAAAAGTGGAGGAATACTCTCATAAAATTTTTCTTAAATATAAAGATTCAATTTCAATTTATATTACTCAATAAAATATTTAACTTTATTTTACTTATATTCTGCGAGTATTGCAGTTTTCATATTGATCAAACTTATTTTAATGAGTTTTATTATGCGACGTGATAAAAAAATCAAGTTTTGATATCTGTGAACGTATCACCTGGTTGATTTTTATTTCATTTTATAACCGTGTTGAACAGCTGATCCAATTCTGAGTTTACGACCATTAATGTTCAACTCTGTAGTCTTACAATTTTGAACCCAACCTAAAAGAAAAGGGAACTGCTGGATCAAGCATTGGGGCAAACTAGCCATCGTGGAGAACTTTTTAATGGAGTCAATCCACATTTGTGTCGCATGGAGAGGAAAACCTCCCACAGTTAGCTTAACGGCAAGGGTATTCTAACCCATGATCTGTCAACCACTCTAAGAATATTTTATGTCAGTACTATGGTCTGTGAAAGAGAAGAATTCATATCGACAAGCCAACTCTGGGAATTGAAGCTGGGTCATCTCTTTGAAATAAATAAATAGATTGATAAAAATGATTTAGTACTTAGAAGACTAACGTTTAAGTAAAAATTATAATATTTGTCATCAACATATCTAAATACACACGTGGCCTTTCATTGGTCAACCTGCTCTATAGGTGGTCTTTCACTCAAAAATGTTGCGCGCCCTTAATCAGTTTTATTATTTTTTTCATCAATTTCATAATTAATATTTTAATGATATAAGTAAAAAAATAAGTTTTTATTTTATAAACTAATGTAAATTAATAAAACTTTATGCTTAAAATATATAAAACATATTTTAAATAAATTCCTACAAAATTATTTCAATAAATATTTGATGTAGTATAAAAAAATTTTAACTTTACAAACTAATTAATAAAAATGAATAATAATATTTTTTTAAGGAAATACAAAACATTTAAAGTATTTTGAACAAATATTGCAAAATTGTTTCAAATATACTTGTTGTATAGGAGCCTGGGCCATAGTCATTGTTGGATGAATCATTGTAGGGTGGGGACCAGAGCTCTGCGACATCATAGTACCAGTAGGGACATTTTGAGCTTGTGCAGTGAGCTGTGAAACATTCATTTGCACAGGAGTCCCTGCATTGATATTCAGCTGAGGTACAGCCATCTGTACTGATTGTCCACTATTTGTATTGAGCTGAGTCATTTGGACAGGAGTTCCTGAAGGAGAACTTAAATGAGACACAGTCATTTGAACAGGAGCATTAGAATTTGAATTTAATTGAGATGCAGACATCTGTGCTGAAGATGCAGCACTAACATTTACATTTTGCTGCATTGTAGCCATTTGTTGAGTAGCAGAAGGATTGACATTGGAAGGCAACGAAGCAGAAACATTCAACTGATTTGACTGTTCAGAATTATTGGTCACAGACATTGATGATGAAACATTTGACTGCTGCTGATGCAATTGATTTTGCTGCTGTTGCATTTGATGCAAATGAGATTGTTGAATTTGTTGTTGCATGTGAGACGATTGCTGGTGTTGAGGTTGTTGTTGCAAGTGAGACTGATTTTGCATCTGAGTTTGCTGCATTTGTTGCTGTTGCTGCAGCTGAGATGCTTGCATTTGTTGCTGTTGTTGCAGCTGGGATGCTTGAATTTGTTGAGACTGTGTCATCTGTTGTTGTTGTAACTGGGATGCTTGAATTTGTTGGGGCTGTGACATACTTAGATGAGATGATTGAATCTGTTGAGCTTGATGATTTTGTTGCTGCTGTGTTTGCTGGGGTGACTGCTGAACTTGCTGCTGTGTGGATTGTAGTAGAAGTTGTTCATTATTATCTTCAGCCATATTATATTATGTTCTAAACAAAAAAAAGAGATAAAAACTTAAACCATAAAAATAAGTGTAATCACTTAAATAAAAGAATCATTCAGTAAACCTGCAAAAAAGTGTTTACTAAAAATGTTCAGTTTACCAAGAAAGAAGAAAAAAAAACTTAATATTTAATTAAAAAAATTATAATAAAAAAGAAGTTGACGGAATAAAATAGATGTTTTTCACAAAATATTTGTTATATCATAATAGTTTTCTTAAACAATGTTCAATTTTAAATTTTTTTGGTTAATAAGTAGAATCTGGTGCTCTTTAGATTGAGTATTGTACTTTGAAGCTTTTATCGTACACAGTGTTCACCCTAAATGTTCTTTGATTTTAGAAGGCTCGTCTCTCCCTTGATCTTCATAAATGTGCCCTTCTTGTAAAAATAAGCAGCCATTCCTTAGTAAAGCAATCTTTTTATTTTATTTTTTCAGGAAAAGTTTGTTTTCTTAATCACCTGCTTTAATGAAAAGTCTTAATCTGATTTTTTTAGTTACTGAAAATTATTTAACTTTAATTTTTAATTTCATTCTTTCATTTTCCAGCTAAATAGTTAAAATTTGCATGATATTCAGACCAAGAGATATTCATATCTTTTGTTTGGATGGAGGGTAAATTAAATGAATTTTCCAATGGTTTTAAACTTTACCATTATTTTGTTTAAAAAAAAAAAACCTTTATTTAGAAATGCACCTTTAAATGTTTATTTTCTCAAGATTTTAAATAATTATTTTGATAATTATACTAATTTATTTTCTCATCATTTAAAATATAAAAAATAGCTTTAAAGTTGTTCCTCACTTAATCCTCTTTTATTAGTTTACTTTGTTTGAAGAAAATTTATACACTGAGATTGTCTTTAATTATTTTTCAAAAGCTTCAAATTTTTCTGCTACTTTGATAATTAGTGAAAATTACTTTGTGAAATATACACGCAAAATCACATAAGAGGGTAGTTAAAAAATTGAGAATCAAATTCAGTTATTACATAATGTTACATATTTTGATAATTTTTAACGGTGGTGAGTGCCCTTTTCTGCGAGGAAGCATCCCACTCTTTTTTATTCCAAGGAAGAACTCTGCTGTACATAAAATCTTCTATTATCTTATTATTTTGACCTAAATACTTTATTATTAGAAAATGTCATTCAAGTTTCACTCAAATTTTCCTTTTTTCTTATAGGAACGTAAGAAATCGCCAAAAAAAGGGAGAGCACCAACTATAAACTCTTAATAATTTTTAAATCAAAACATTTCAACAGAAATAAGTTTAAATGGACAGAGGAAAAAAATGATCCTAAACCTATAATTATTCTCAATGGCTCTAGTTTTTCAGGTAAGAAATTTTTTTTCTTGATTATATCTTTAAGCTCAAAGGATAAACTGTATATGACCAATAAGCTCTACTAGATCAAACTGCCTATATAATGTGAAAAGGCTAATTACATTTAAGATAATTTTTATTATAATAGATTAAGGTCAGCACATCAAGAAGTCACACTGTCGCTATACATATTCTTGAACCTACTTTCATGTTAATTTATGTTCAAAACTAACAGAGAATTGTAGAAAAAGAAATTAATTAAAAAGTTAGAAATTTCTTATTTATTGTTTCTTGCTGATATAAATGCAAACTGTGATTCCAAGTATGCGATGACCATTATATTTTACCAGCCAGATTGGTAGATAACACGTTCATTATAATAATATCAGAAATGTTGAATTCAACAAAATACCATAGCTTGAATTTCTTAAATAATAATTTAAAAGGCTATAATTAAAGAAATCGATGAATTTTTTTTTACAGGAAATAGAATAACTGTAAGCACGCCTTTAAATCAAGTGATGCAATAGTAATATTTATTAATTGTTAAAATTTAAATTAAAAATAGATTCTGCAAATTAGTTTACTTTTAGATTAATAAATCATCCAAAGAAATATTTTATAATGGTAATATTTAATGAAGTCAGCACATTTAATAATTAAAAAAAAAGGCTTCCTTTAAAATTCACTAGTAGGAGAAACAGTTATCTGTCATTATATTCCCCAAATTCATATTAAATAACAATAGTCTGTTAAATAATTAGCACAATCGAATAACGAATAATCAAATATAAATTATAAGAAATTGCGAATTTTTTTGACACTTATTTACCTTACATTCCAAAACATAAACAGCACATTTATTAAACGATGCCAGAATTTTGACCACATCATCAAATTTTGCAAAAGTCAATTTGACTTAGAATAACAAAAAGAAGACAAATTAGAACCTTTTTCAGGGGTTTGTAATTTAAACTGCTTGTTTCAAATGAATTTCATTTTAATATTGTAAAAAAAAGATAAATATAACTTCCTTTTTAAAAAAACAAATAAAAGAAGCTTTAATTTAATAAAAATAGGCAGCTGGAAACGTATCAAATGAAGAAAACAAAAAGGAAAACAACTATCAAAACAATTTTGTCATAAATCGTATGTTAAATTAATTTGTTTACCTGGCCAATAAAAAGTATTTATCTGAACAAAATTTGCTTATTTTACCTTATTATTTGCAGTGATTCATAAAGCTAATATAATTATTTTATTTACTGTTATAATTAAAGCATTTTAATATAATTTGATACGACTGATGAAATCGTTATGAGATATTGCGATTTAAGTAGAGTTCCGTACCCATTTCCTAAATTGAAAAGATGGCATTAAGACTGTTCATAAATTTGAAATCTTCTTTTAGGATTTGTACTAAACGTAATGTTTCCTCAAGATCATACAAATTGCACCAAAAAGCATTGAAACTTACCACAGCCAATCATCGCGATGAACAAGAAAATTTTGACACATTCGGCACTTGGGATAATAGAATTGATCTTCCCCTATTACTGCAAGCTAGTATAGAGCATGGTAAACCAATTCCTAAAATATCTGTGGGAAATGTTGGATCAGCTAGCAACATAGGAAGACGAATTTCTAATGAAGATAGATACAGGTATTCTAAAATTAGTGCATCCTTTTTTTTACTAATTATACTGATTAAAATTGAATAAAAAATTTTCAATAAATTTTTATTTAATCGTTTTATGTACTACTATATTTTGGTTAACCCACCTGTGATTCTGCATGTAGAAATCTATAATTTTTTTTTTTAAATTCATCCAAATCTTTGCGCATGTAAAAAACCTCACTCTTTTTCTATCTAAAGGGTATATATCATGTTCTCAAAAAAAGTTTTCAGTGCCTGGCCAACAGGTACAAGAAAAAGAGGACCACCAAACCTAAGATTTTTAGACTGCCTTGAAAAGGACCTACAAGTCTTAAAGATAATAAACTGGAGAACCTTGGCTAAGGGAAGAATGTCTTGGCATAGGCTTGTTGAGAAGGCCAAGGCCCATCCTGTTCTGTCGTGCCAATGAGAGGAAGAAGAATTGTAAAAGTGTGAACGTGAACATTAATTATATTCTTATTACATATTTAGTATTCCATGTTTTGCCAACAGCAGTTCTTGTGTACGATATAGATTTTGAGTTTTTAGAATAACGGTGGGCGTAAATTTTACAGAATATATCATGTTCTGCCATGCCAACTATAATAGCCTAGATGGCAAAGTTTTTTTTTTTTTTTTTTTTTTTTTTTTTTAAAAAGAAACATGTAGAAGCTTGCATGCAGGTGGCTATGAGTTATATCCTTCAAATTGGTCCCTCCTGTAATGTTTTTTTTTTTTAATGATTACTTGCGAGATGTTGCTTTGAAGTTGCCAAGCNGTTACTTGCAAGACATTGCTAAGACTTGGTGATTCTTTTGCCACAGATCACGATACAGAAATCTTCCCCTACCTACAAACAGACCTGTATATAGATTTTTTTTGTTGCAAATTTTAGATAAATATGAATATGAATGAGTAGGTAATATAGAAATATTTATAATAGAAAAATGACCCTTTATGCAACAATTTTATGATTGGAGAGTAAGATGGCTTGAACCAAAATTGTATAAAAACATTGTAAATATTTCGAAGAAATAAAAATCAAAATTTCGAAACTGCCTGTAGGTTAAAGAGCTGCTCAAATATTATCTAAGCATATTTTTTGCACTTATGGTTTCTTTCTCCACCTTGTCACCAAAAATAGCAAGTTACGAACCCTTATCCAAGCGTACGTAGGAAAGTTGCAACTTCTTGTTTTTTAGTTTGACTATGATTTATATTCTAATAGTCTAATTTTAAGAAATTTAGGATTTTAGGAGATGTTACTTTTCATGAAAACAAAATTTTCATTTTAATTTATTTCATATATTTTTTTAAATTTTTTGGAGTAATTTTTTTTCAGATTTTTCACTTCTATAATAAACGTTATTTCAAAATATTTTGTGAGAATTTTTTGCATTTTTTTGAAGAAACTTTTTTTGATAAGAAAGAGTTAGAGACTTACTTAAGCATTGCTAGCATAAAATAGCAAATCGCCTTTCTTGTTAGCATAAAATAGCAAATCGCTCTTAAAAAAGCAAACAGGTGTCTTTTATCAATTAATGAGTTCATATATAAATTAACTGGTTTTTATAATTATATCATGGATTTTAATCCAATGACTTATGATTCTTTTCTAAAAAATGAAAATTTATTAAGCATTTTAGTACATTTAAAAAAAAAAATATTGATTTTCTTATAGTTTTAAAATTTATTGTAAATATATTATTAAACTAAGTTATTTTAGTTATTGAGGAGTAATAAAATATAGCATTTTTTAAATGACATTTTGTTAATCTTATAGATCTTTTTTGTTTAATTTTTTTATAATTTTTTTTTTTTTTAGGGTTTTAGAGCTCCAACCTGAGTTGTTGTATTTTGCTGTGTTTGATGGCCATGGAGGAACGGAATGTGCAGATTTTTGTAGTGAGCATATGGAGAATTATATTAAATATTGGTTAACTAGGGGTGAGAGGGACTTAGAAACTATTCTTCAGTATTCCTTTCAAGAAGTGAATAATGCCTTTGCCAGACATGTTATTTTTAACTGTCCAGGTGAGCTCTTTTAATCCTTTAAATAAAAACAATTCTAATAATAGTATAAAAAATATGTAACACAGTGTGAAATTATCAGAGATAATTTCAAAAAGATATCCTCACATGTGCACTAACTTATCAAACTGCTTATTTTGATACCCTGTCTGATGTTTGTTGTATATACTTCATTCTGCTCATCGATTACATACATTCTCTGGTTACTAGATATAGACGTGTACTTACATCAAATCCTAGACAGCAGAAAAGTAATATAAAAAAAATAATTTTATTTCAGAAACAGCCTTTCAGTTCTTTCTTGTTCAGGATTGTAAAAGAATATTTATATTATTATAATTATATAATGATTATTATATTAACTCAATAAGAGCTCAACTGATCTATTTTGATCATCAAATCTAAAGTACTATATAAGTTAATGGAAACTAATGCATGTAATTTTTTTAACAGGGTGGACCCCCCCATTTCTGTTCTACAAATCATTTTCACAAGGTTTGAAGTATTGTAAATTCAAAAATTAAAGTTTTTCTTACAGGGGCCATAATGACCGCTTTTGTCTGTTTTAAGTAGTTTTATGACTATTTATTTTAATAATCAACATAAATGCATGAAATTTTGATACGGTATACTTAGAAACATTTTAGAAAAAGTGAAAAAATATTAGCTTCGAAGCTCACATGTATCTTTAAAAACAACATATGAAATGGCAAAACACAATCAGAATCACCCCAACAACACTTTTAGTGTTTAATAAAATTTAAACACTATTGATCTTCATGATAGTTCAAAATTTTGAAAGGGTTTGTAATACATAATAAGAATTATCTCAAAACTTTCTTCATTAGAAAATTGTGCAAAAATGAACAGATTTAGCTAGTGGATTAAATAATGCAAAACATGAACTCTATAATATTGCTTTGTAGCCATTAGTTACTGACCACAGCTACTAAATGTATGTCATGTATTTGAAGGAAAAATTTAGGTAAGAAAAAATCTATTCAGACAATAGATTGTTTGAAATGTCATACTTCTAAATTACAAATGCTGAAATCTTTTAACTGTGCTACCTGGGTTTAACTAGTCACAAACCTCTGAGTTATAGATATTTATATTTGTTTATGATTCAAGTTGTTTGGTATCTTTTAGCTAGTACTTTTTAATTAATTAATGATCAATTTAAAAAAAATAAAAACTTGACTTTGTTTCAGAAAAAGAAGCTGCCAGTTCAGGAACTACTGCTACTGTTTGTCTTTTAAGAAACAGCATTGAACTTGTGATTGGTCATGTAGGAGACAGCAGAGCCATGCTTTGCCGTGATGGTGAAGCAAGAAAACTTACTACAGATCACACTGCAAATTTAAAAAGTGAAAAGGTTTGTTACAAAAAGTTTTCATTTCAAATTTTGGTAGAGATCTATTTTTTTTAAATGTTTTTTTTTATTTTATTTATCTTTCGCATTTATGTGAGAAAATAGAAGTAAAAGAACTTGCCATGTTAACGTAATTTCATGATAAGTTTAGTTTCCTTTTCATTTATTTTTAATAATTATTTTGTTAGTAAACATATTGCTTTATTTTAAATAACACGTGAAATCTTTAACTATGCTTTAAAGAATATGATATAACAATGGAAAAACATTAGATATTACTTTTCTGACATTTTCATTGATTCAGACGTTTTCATTCAGATATTTTCTGTATTGCTCAGCTATTTTTCTCTATTCTATTCAAGAAAAATAGAAGAATTTTATCAAACTCTTCTCAGTTGCCCAATAATTAAAAAAAATCTGATAATTTTCCACCAACAGTGGATTTTTTGAGAAAATGTTACTTAATTATGACATATCCTTAGTCACTATTATTTTTAGACTGAAAACTGCTTTCTCTGAAGAATTGAATTTGTGTTACTTTTTTTAAATATTCCATTTGGTTTTAACTAACTTAGGATTTATAGTTGTCCTGATATTCTTCATGAAAAATGTTTTGACCCTATTTGTTCATATTTTTAGTTTTTGTCCTGTTATTTTGTGTATGTTCAAAACAAACAAATACATATTTTAAAATAATCAATTTGAAGAATTACAAGATTTGCATTTTTGATCCAATATCTTTTATTTTCCCTACACCCTTTTTAGTGATATTAAAAATCTTAAAGTATGATTGTTTAAACTTAGAGACCATTCACTAATCATATGTGAGGTTAAGCCTTATGCGCAGGATTCATTGTTTAAAACTTTCTGAGAATTCAGTCATTTTATGAAAAAGAAACTTAATTAAAAAATTTTATGGTTGTGGTTAATTTAGGTCATATGCTTATTTATTGTTTTCAACAAATGCAGTAACAATCCTTATAGGGAGGAGTTTTGTAGTTACACAATTATTAATTAGATTATTAATACTTTTTCATTAGATTTATATTATGATAGATTTCAATAAACAATACAGTAATCATATCATAAAATTTATAAATAGTGAATTGAAGGATCACCTAATAAATTACTTTTGCACCAAAATATTAAACAGCATATTCACAGTATTTACTTTTCAAAATTACTCTACCGCTTAGTTTAAAATTTGTTTTTATTAAGGAAGTTTTGAACTTCATTACATATTTTAATTAGATATAAGCATGCAGGAATATTTACTCATTGATACTGGTTATTTTTTTATTGCTGAATCTCTATCAAAATTTTCTATCAATGAAATTAAACTATGTATTATAAGTCGTTCTGCATTCCATTAATAAAATTATGTTGGAAATTGTTAAAACTTATTATTTTAAGTAATTCTGAAATTTAAAATAAAGTTTTTATTATTCTTTTGTGATAAAAATTGACTTTATTATGTTTAAGTAGGGAAATTATATGTTTTCTAGTTTCTGATTTGCCCTTTTTTTTTAAAAGTAGTCTGTTATATGCATACTGCTCTGAAAAATGACCTGTTTTTTTTCTTTTACCTACTATAAAAAGTGCTTATGTAAATTTTGCTTTGAGTGAAAAAAATTACATACCTGGGTTTCTTTCCTGATATAGTAACAATTTTCAAATTCTACTTTGAGATTGGCTTGATAATAGTTCTCATAAAAGTCTACTTTTAATGTAAACAAGTATGCTTTGAAATAATTTGTTTATTTTAATTTCTGTTGTTGGAAGGATTTATATATTTTCTTTCAATGATCACAAAAAACTGAATTGTCAACTGTATTCCACTTAGTCTTTGAATCATAACATATAATGAAATTTATTAAAATTTTAATCAAAAATATCAAATGGCGATCTCTAATTTTGACTTTAATTAAGGATTAGATATATTATTAAGATAAGATTTTTTTTTGGTGAAGGACAAAAAAGTGGATCTTAATTATAATTTGAACTCTTTTTTAAAATGAACTATTCATTTTGGGGATTCTAGTGAACATGGATATAGCATTGTGTTTATAAAGTAGAAAATAAAACTTAGTCTTCATAAAAGTTAGAATCCTATGTTATGGTAATTTAATTTGCTTCTCTTTTTATTTAAGTACAAATAAATATTTTTGATCAAGTATATAGGGTATCATTAGTAATTTATTAATAAATTTTTTGCAGGAAAGAATTTTAAAATCGTCTGGTACAATTAAATCAGATAACTTAGGTCAGCATCTCGTAAATGGGAGATTAGCAATGACTCGAAGCTTAGGAGATTTGGATTTAAAACCTTATGGAGTCTCAGCTCAACCAGACACAAGATCTTTAGAAGTAAGTTTTTACTTTCTCTAGTTTTTAAATTATGCGACGCATTGTCAAAGAAAAAAAAAAGTGTATCCTTAGAAGAATCTAATGAATAGTAGATATCTAAAATGATTTTTTTTAAAATTTTGATATTCAAAACTTTATTTTTTGTGTATGTGTAAACAATATATTTATCAAGTTTCAGAATTGTAAAAATTTTAATGTAATGCAGGTACAAGAAAATTATAGAATGCTTTTGTACCAAAAGGGAAAAATTAAACTAAATCTTATTACAATTCCCTACTTACAACTTCAATATTTTTACAGATTTTAAATTTATATTTTTATCAATAAAATTATTGATAATAAAAAGGAATATTTCAAGGGCGATTAAATTTCCCAAAAGTTTAAAAGAAGTGTGTTCAGGAAATTATAATTTTTTTTTGTGTGTAAAATAATAATGATGATATAGTGAAAAAAATTATTTCACCTTTATTTTCTTTGATAATTATCCTATATCTGGTGTAGAAGTCGACTTTTAAAACTCTCAAAATTTTACGAAAATCAGGGGATCCAATTAAAGTTAAACATTCGTTGTTCATGAAATATCAATGCATTATAATAGAGAATGTGACGGTATTAATAATTCTGTATCAATTTATGTTAATGTGTCATATCAAGAAAGATTAATGTGAAATATTTTTAACTTGAAGTTTTTATTGCTGACTTAATTTTTTTAACGTTTTTAATTTTAGAAGTTTTTACATTTGGCTTCTTCAGCATTGACTTATACACCCAAAATTTTCTATCTCCTAATCAAAAATAGGAGTCAATTTATACAACAAATTGAATTTTCAATGAGATATAAGGTGTATTTTATAATTAATTATCAACGTCCTTTCTCAGTTATATGAAATTTTTTAGGTCTGTAAAACATGTCTTTTGTTGTCCTTTTATACTTTTAAATATAACATATACTTAGAATCAGAAATTAAGTATTCTTTTATAAAACGGCAACACATTTTTAAAAATTATCTAACTTTCAAATTTCCCCCAATTTTTTTTTTTTTACATTTGAAACATAATTATCTAATGGAAACTAAGATTGGAATCTAGAGTATCTAAATGCATTTCTTCATTTTCTAGCTTAATGATTTGTAAGTAACAATAAGACAAAGTTGGATATTTAATGAACAATCCTAAGAAATGTATGTGGAAAGAATTACTTGATGATTAAAAAAGCTTCATTTGCTTCAAAATATAGTACTAAAAAATTACATTTTTCTAGCGTTATTCTTTGTGAGAATGGAAGCCAATTTTTTAGCGCTTTAAATATGTTTCTTTTTTATTATCACCTTCAATGGTTTGAAGCTTATGCAGTTTTTAAATCATCAAGTGAGATACTAATTAATTACTTAAGACACATTTTTTCTTTTTTAAAATCTGTAATTTATTTTTAGGTTAAACATGGCAGAGATTCATTTTTGATATTAACTACAGACGGTGTTAACTTTTCAATGAGTGATCAAGAAATATGTGATGCCGTGAACACTTGCCATGACCCATTCGAGGGGGCAGGATTCGTCACAGATCAGGCATTACAGTTTGGGTCTGAAGATAATACAACTGCTGTGATCGTTCCTTTTGGTGCATGGGGAAAATATCAAAACCAAAGGAAAATTGCTCTAAATTTTGGTCGCAGTTTATTGAGAAGTAACAGGTATTAAAGAAAGTGTGCCTGTTCTTTGAAAGAAAATAAAGCTCATTTACTTATTTATTCATTTGGAAGACAGTTTTTTTTATAGAAAGTATATGTTTAATCAGTCTAGGTCTGGTTCATGTATACAGGAAGATGAACTTATATTGTAGATGATAGCAATAACTATATTTATTAATAGGTTGTGACAGAAATTAGACTTAGTTTTTGTTGTATTACTGTTACCAATATTTTATAATAGTAATAGATGTTGATGAAGCATTAACTTAATTGTGATTTTTCCTTTTAAAAATTTGTTATTGTTTTATTTGCTTTTTTAGTCTTATGTGTTTGTAAGATGAGCTGTTGAATTTTTTATCTGATATTTTTTAAAGTTAACATAAAAAGGGAATGCATTTAGAAACTTAATCAATACTTAGTGAAAAACTTTCCCAGTGGAATCATTAATTCATGTGCTTTTTTAGCTTATTTTTGAAAACAGACTTTTACTTAGTTTTTACCTCAATACTTTATTTATTATTTTTTGCACTTAATTTATTTTTAAAAACTGCTGCTTTTGTTCACTTTTCAATTGTTAAGACATATGGGACTTGTTATTTATCAGTATTTTGATTAAATGTAATGACAGGGTTCCCACTCTATTTCAGACAAACAATTCATTGACTTTTCCAGGTATATCAGGTAAATTACAGAAAATCCAGTTCATATTTTATCTCTACCATGGAATTTTTCCTCAGAAAACTTTTTTATTTATTTATTTGTAATGCCAAATATTAGATTTTGTGAGGAAATTTTTTTTTGAATGAGAATGGGAACATGTCAGTTGAACTAAAATGTGAAATTTTTATAACAAGTAATTGTAATAGATGCTAGAATTATTTAACTCCAATCTCAATAATTTATTACTGTTATTGACAATTTAAAGACTGGTTATCTTCTAGGTATGATATAGGAATTTTCTAGGTTTTTGTAAAATACTGCAATTTTACCTGATTTTTGGAACTAAAATAAAATTCCCCGACAATTCCAGGTTTTCCCTTTTCTACTTGACCTGTGGGAGCCCTGTAATGAGTAAGTTTAGGGATAAAAAGTGTTTTCAATTTAAGAAACAAAAACTGTCATACAGAGAGGTGAAATTTTTCAAAAGATTCTCCACTAGATATCATATCTGATTTATAGAATAATATTTTTTCATTTATAAAAAAACCTGTGAATCTCATAAGTTTAACTTAAATCAATAAATAATTGTAATAAAATGAAATGTTTAAAATTATTTTACTATCTTAGTCTACTTATTTGTATTATTCTTTAAAATTTAACTGATGTTACAATTTAAAAACATAGCATGCTTTGATTATTTCTTCATTCAAGCTTAGATGCCTTTTATCAATCTTACTTCTAAGATCAATAAAATTCTCATTTCAAATCTAATCAAAATTCTTCAAAAGTTAAGCTACATATGTAGTTTTTAACGAGAAATCTTAATCATCTCTTTGACCAATAATTCGAGTTATGCCAAATTAATTTATATTCCCCCTTTTTTTCTTCAAATTAATTCCATGATAATTTAAATTGAAATGTAACATTTCTGGAAATTTCATTTAATCCTGTATTTTAAAAGTAATTTAAATTTTTTTTCAAATGAATTCATTGTTATTTCAACGAAGTTCAATATTTTTAAAAGAAACTATTTAGTAGTTAAAATAAAGTTATTTATAAATAGAATATTTTACAACTTAGACTATATTTTTCTAGTCAAAGTTTTTTTTTTTTTTTTTTTAAAAAAAACTTTTAATCACACTCAGCAGTAAACCTTATGCTTGTCTTGATTATAAGTTTTGTTCCTCTATATAATTTTATAAGCTTGTTCTATATTAGCCTTTTTTACATTGTTTATAATATCTATTGTGATATTATTAAAAAGAAATTATAAAATGTCATAAAAACCTATTTATCATCTCATCATTCATCTTTATTTCACTAAAATAATAAATGTTGAATTATAAACATTTATTTGAACATAATTTATTAAATTGATAATATGGTTCGGATTTTCTGAAATTAACAATAAACTGTTCAAATAGAATTTAATATAAAAATAAGAAAATTCTTTTGTTCAAGCTTCAATGTCTTTGTATACTTTACTAGTAAAGTATCACCCATTATTTGTTTTTTGAAATGTTTGATTTTGTATCTTGATTGCAGAAAAAACCGTTGAATTATAAATGAAAAAATGTATTATAGGCTTCATAGTGGTTCAAAATAAAAATCAAGACATTTTTCACTTGTTTTTAGTACAAAATATATTGTTATTTTTTGTTGATAAAGTTGAAATAACTTGTTGTTTGTTGAATATTTGCTAATTATAAAACAACTTACGATATTTTGGTGCTAGACTGAAAAATGAAACATGTTTTCAAAAATTGTTATCTTTGTTCCTTGCTGTTTGTATGTACTTTTTTAAAAGTCATTTCCAGAAGAATTTGTTATGAAAAAAAAATGATAAAAATATTTATGTTGATATTTTTCATAATTTTATGAAATGTTTAACAGTTGAAATAATTGTATTTTTTATATGAATGTTCACTTTTTACTGTAATTCATTAAACTTAATTGTAGCAAAGTGTATTTCTTAAAAAGTGAGGAAGCATTTAAAAAATAAACATTTATTTACAATGAATAAATATTTTTGACTACATAGAATTTTGATCTAATAAATTCCTTCCTTCCTCAATGGCACGACAGCCCCGGGTGGGCCCTGGCCTTCTCAATCAACTTCCTCCAGGCCTGTCTCTGCCTGGCAGTTGTCTTCCAGTTTGAGACTTTTAAGACTGAATAAATTAGCAACATTTATTTTTCATCTTCTTCTCCTTTCTTTTCATCTTCTTCTCCTTTCAACTGCTGCTGCCACATGTTGGCATAAACACCATTCCTCTCTAAAAGCTCACTGTGACTAAAATAAATAAACAGTCAAATGAGAGAACACAAATAAGTAAGTAGTATATGTATATAGAATGCGCATAAATTATGAAGAAAAGAAAATCTAAGTATAACTAGGGCCCTATAAATTATGCGAACATTTTTTTAAAATTATGCGGCTAGGATGCGGCGATTTTTAAAAATTATGCGGTGTCTTTTAAAAATTATGCATGAAGAAGTTAGTCCAGAAGCTGCATTTTCTTTCAAACTCTGTCTTTGTTTTGTAAAAATTTGGCCGTAGCAGGATACAGCTCTTTCACAATCTACTGAATTAGGAAGCACTGAGAGCACTTGTCTTGATTTTTTCTTAAGTTCTGGAAATCTCTCTGAGACTACCTCTGAATTCCAGAAGTCCTGGGTTGAACATTCTTTTACATATTCTTTGTAAGCAGCATACTCGAGTTTTATATCTTGACCACTCATTCCTCGAATATTCTTGAATGCATCGTCGTCTTCAATACTGAGGTTGACTATTTGTTCTGGATCGAAAACTCGAGCAGTTTTCATGAAGTTTAATGCAGGTTGACTAAACTTGGGCCCGCGTTTTTTGAATACGTCTAGTTCTGGAGAGTAGTAAGTATTCAACTTTGCAATTGTTTTGTGAAACACTTCTTGAAGAAATACGTTGCGTGAATCTTTTCGTGAGTATGATGCCTGAGAATTACATCGAAGTTTAGACCGCAGATCAAAAATCTTATTGTAAGCTTTGTGAATAGATACACCACATGTTTCGAAAAAGAGAAGAGTATCCATTAATATCTGAGCGTGTTCTGCAATGAACTGAAAGTCTTTGCAAACGTACTTGCTTTCCACCAAAACTTTGCACTGATTGAGACAAGCAGTGTCAGGAGTAAGGTTTATTTCACTGCTAAAAAATTCTATGTAAACATTACAATATTCAGCATGATATTGCACTGATTTAAACCAGGAATTCCACCGTGTCTTTATTGGTGCTGGACAAAGTTTAGCTTTCTTATTGTCATCTGTTAAAAACTTTAAATAGCGGCGCTTTCTTGCAGGACAATGCTTGAACAATTTCTTAAAGTTTCCTGTGAATTTGTCCACCTCTGTCAGATTCTTGGAAAGATCTGACCACCTGACCAAAAAGATTCTTGGAATTGAAAAGGAAGATATATTTCAATTGAAAAAAAAAACCCTTAAGGAGAAATTTATCTGGTAAACGAATACATTTTGCTGAAAAAAAAAAATTATACAGATATGCTGCGATTATGCGGAAAATTGTAAATCATACGGATAATTGTGAATTATGCGGGTTTCCGCATTTTCGCATAATTTCTAGGGCCCTAAGTATAACTGTATTCAGTGAAATGTCAGTAAAGCACATACTCTCTGAACCATGAAAACTGTTAAGAAAAGAACATGCTGATTAGGTAATCTGATGCTGATGTTTTAACTAAATTAATATGGTAGTTCAATAAATGTATAATGATTAAAATGCAAAGATAACTGTATAAAAATGTAATATAAACACCTATTTATACAATGCATTTTCAATTCCATTTAACATTTTTTGGGAAACATAAGTATCTTAGTGTTATGTGATATTTCAAATCATGTACAGTAGAGGACGATTATCCAGAAGCCAATTTACTGGATTGTCCAAGTATCCAGATGATTCAAAGACCATGTTTTTCCACCTCCCCCCCAAAAAAAAAATTTCCCCCCACAAAAATGGTTATTTATTTTCAGAATATTTGAAAGGGATTAAAAAAATTGTTTCTTTAATCCTTCAGTGACCTTGAAAAGAGCCTATCTTTCATTCTTTAGTTTTAATGTAATGGCAATTGTTACATTTCTTTTTCCAAGAATTGAAAAAAGGAGGTGAAACATGTTTTGAAATACTCTTTGTCAATCTTGAAACACATTTCGTCGGTCGAATTTGTAAAAATTTAAATGTTTACAAATGTTAAATCTTTTAAACATGCCATTTTTAGCATGCAATAATAGCATCTACCACGATTGCCAGTTCTAAGCCTGCAGGAAGTACAAAGAGAAACAACTGAATAACATTCTCATACCGTTTTAAAAAGTTATTCAATTATCTGGATGGTCATGATTGGTCTGGATATTCGGCGTTTTACTGTTTTTTTAATCAAACAACGTCTTTGAACTATTATTAGAAAGTTGATCTTGAAGTATGATCTGCTACAAAGATGTGGTAATACCTACACTTAAAGTGTTCTGAATTGAGCTGTTGCAAAAACGTAGTCAATGTAATACAACCATATATATAATGAAGAATTTATAACCAATGCAATCAATCAGTTTTAAGATGCTTAAGTTTGCTCCATCCCGTACATAATTATATTGTCAAAAACAAATGTAAAATTCATGTTTATACAGAAAAAAATTGCTGTCTTTCTTAGATTCTGAAAGAATTTTTTTAGATTCACATTACCGTTCAAATCCAGTTTTGAAAATGCCTGTTCTGGAAGAGAGATAAGTAATGATTTATTCATATAAGATTAAAAAGGATTTTAAAAACTGTCCGCATTGGAGGAGTGTGCATAAGGCGAGGTTTCACTGTACCTTGATTTGATTTTAGTCATTAAATTTTTGTGTCCTCTATACTTTATTTTCATGAAAACGCAAGTGGAAATAACCAGTAAATTTTAAAATGGTATACCCAGTTAAGCTCAGTTTTTAATTTAAAGTTTTCAACATGAGATTTTTTTATTTAGGTCTAAATAAAAATTATAGTTTTTACCCCATTTCATAAGATTTAATTTTTAAAAATCGACAATAAAAAAGTTAAAGGCATAACAAATTATATAACTTTTATGGGTACTTTTCCATTATACCGGCGCAGGCGATAAAGCCGCCAATAATGATGCAACCAAAGCCAAACGGAATATCGCTTCTGGTAACCTTATGTCTCCACATTTTCAAAGCAAGTCGCTGCCATTTCCTCATCATCAGTGACGTCTTTTTCCTAATACAAAAAATTTACGCAAAAAGCAATGAAAATTTGGGATTAGCCCAAACCAGAGAAAGAAGCGGTCAGATTCTTTCAAGAGAAAGGCATTGTGGCTGAAATCGCAATTGCTGATAAGAATCATGAAATGAAATGGTATACCGAAGATGAAATTCAATGGTGTTGCAACCTTTCATCTTGTCCACTGTAAAAGAAGTATCCGTAAATGCACATGGTTTCAGTCATCGAAATTGAGCTTTTTGAAAAGTTTTTTTATTGTTGGAACGAAGAATTAACCTCAGTTAAATGGTGTGAAAAGCAGTTGGAAATCAAGGAAAATATCGAAAAAGAAACTATAATATATTCCGATTCATGGAAATTATACTGACTAGTAAGCTGGAAGATGAAAGTTTCGAACATTTCAAAGTGAACCATAAGTCCATCTTAGTCGATCCGGAAACTGGAACACACAAGCAAAAAATAGAGTGACTCGAGGGGTAGTGTTAAATGGCGAAATGAGAAACAAAGAGAAACGGTACGCCATCATCTCGAAAGTTATCTTGCGGAATTTATGTGGAGAAAGCAAACAGAGGACCCATTTGAAAAAATTTAAGCTATATTAAAATGTTTATGCCTCCGAAGTAAAAAATTTTTTTGAACCATTTACTAACTGTATTTTATGTGTATGCTGTGTGTTGTGGCCAATAAAGTCTGCTTCGTGTGATTTGTTCCAGCGGCTGAGTGTGGTCGCTAAAAAGTCTGCATGGCGAAATTTGCGCCGGTATAATGGAAAAGTACCCTTTTATGTTATATTAACTTTTCCTACTTGGTCCTTTAGCATATGTATGCATAATTATTTTCAGGTGTCAAACTTGAGTATGCATAATTTATGACAAACAAAAAGTGGTAACTTTTAAAAAAAATTTATACATAAGTTCTTAATTCATAAAACTATACAGCAAATATTATATAAATTTAACAATTTCAGATGTTTTAAAGACTATAGTTTAAAGTAGGTTATACTATGTAAGAAAATATGAATTTTTTTAAAAAAAAATTTTCAATTTACTTTTAATTTTTTTAAAAATATTTTTATTTAAATTGGTTTATTTTCTTAAAAACAAACTGTGATTCAAAAGAGAAAAGAATACACTAAATTTAACAAAATAAGTTTTCTATCTTGTTTATCTGAAACATAAAAAGAATCTTTCAAAAATTGTATTGAATTTACCAATAAAATTGTTTCATCTAATATTGAAAAGAAAATACATTACCTTCCTCTTTCAACAATTTCTCCTTCTTTTAGAACTAAAATTTCATCAGCATGTATAATAGTTGATAATCTAAAAATAGAATTCAATCAGGTTCAAAATTAACTTAAACAAAAAAAGTCTAATTGCAAAGGCCTAGGAGGCCCTAAAAATGAAAGTTGACTTGAAAAATTTAATTGAAGGAAAATAGAAGGCGATAGAAACATATGGCTTGTCGAGTTCTGAGGATATTTAATTTCATATTTTCACAAGTTTTACATTTAGTTACAAAGTTTATCAACTGAGTGTACAACTAATTGGAAAAGTTATAAAACAATATTTTTCGATGCGTAACAGATCAGTTTAACTGAAATATTGGCATGTTTATTAGTTAATTTTGTCCTTAGACCATATTGTTGTCGCAGATAGTAGTAATTTTTAATTTTTCTTCTTCCATTTTCTACAGCCAGTAGAACCGAGCTGTCGTGGCTCAGGGGATAAAGTGTTCGCCTTCAAATGAAGTGAACCAGTTTTGAATCCCAAAAACTGGCTGATCCATATGAATTCCTCACCCAGTTCACACCGACTACAGTGTGCTGGTGTAAAATATCCTCAGTGGTAGGCGGATCATGGGTTAGAGTCCCCTTGCCGTCAGGTTAACCATGGGAGGTTTCTGTGGTTTTCCTCTCCATATAATACATATTCGGGTTAGTTCCATTAAAAAGTTCCCCACGAGGACAAATTTCTCCCAAAACTTGATCCAGGAGTTCCTTTGTCTTCTTGATAGGGTTGGAGTTGAACATTAATAGTCGTAAACCCGTTTTTTTTAAAAAGTAAAATGTAGTAAAAATCACATTTCTATTTCCTTCCTTACGCTATATTTAAATCATGAATCATATATACTAACAACGTACCTATGAGCTATAATCAAGCTAGTTTTATTGGCACAAATTTTTGACAAAGAGTTTTGAATGAGACGTTCAGTTTGAGTATCCAAAGATGATGTTGCCTAGAATTAAAAGAAGCATAAAACATACAAGTTTATGGTAAAACATAGTAATGATACTTCGTCTTATAATCTAATATAAATACCTCATCTAAAACAACAATTGATGGAGCTTTCAATATTGTTCTAGCAATAGCAACTCGTTGTTTCTCACCACCACTAAGCTTCAAACCTCTCTCTCCAACTATAGTTTCATAACCTAAATGAAAGTAAAATTTTGTTTAGTAAAATGCATAGAAACAATCAATACACGAAATTTTGTTTTACCATATTGTTAAACAATTCATTGAGAGCACACAGAGATTATAATTTCAATTTAATCAATAAAAAAAGTGAACAAATCACTAACCTAATACAATGACTGCCACTAATAAAACTACTGGGTTATAAAATAAGCCAATTTATAAAATCAAATCATCAAAACATGCTGAAACCATTCTTTTATAGAATTATGATCCCCGTTTTGTACAATCAATTTTTTTTTAGTGCATGCGTTTAAAATTCTGCTTTTTCTTTCTATTTTTGCAAGTTTTGAAAGCATTTTAATAACAAATTTCACTATGCCACCTACTAACAAAAAAAGTTGAAGGTATGAACAGCACTTCTCAAGAAAGTTGAAGGATCAGATTTAAAGAATTGTAAAATAAAAATTAAGGGGTAAAGAGTTTAAGCATTCTGTTATCATTATATATCAACCAAACTCCCATTAATTAAAATGCAAAAGATTTAGCATGTTTTCAATTTTTATTTCTCATTCAAAAAAATAAATAATACACTGATTGAAGTACTATGTTTCTCGAAAGGAATGTTCTAACACAATCAATTCAAATCTCTCTAATAGAAGAAAAGTGTGATTTCTCATATTTGACTGGTATACTGACAACAACAATCAGGCTGAAGCATAGTGAAAATTCAAGATGCCATTTATCTGAGCAAGGCATGAGAACTCTTCCTTACACACACAAGTGTATACATAAGTAGTTCTGAGAAAGGTACAAAATTGTAATGTATATTTTTCAAATGGGGAAGATTTGATGCTCAGTGCAGAAAATCAAAAAATGGTGTAAATGCAAAAGAATTGGTAGCAATGCTATAATAATCTAAAATAAGACATTTTAAAGATATTTTTTCAGTTAATGTAAAAATTTATACTACTGATATAACATATTTTTTTCCATCGACAAATAATTTCTCCCCTGCTTTAGAACTTGTTATTGCAGAGCTTAAAGTTGAATTTAAAAAATTTGTAAGTAACAACACAAAATAAGTAATACTGTAAATATATATATATATA